TACTTAGACTTCGTTTTTTTTAAAGTTTTTTTCGTATTATTTGGTGTTATTATGATATAGTTTGTGAATTTGTTTGTAAAAATTCAGTTCTATACTTTGATTCAGTATATTTGTTATTGTTTTAAAAATGAATTCATAGATGGAATTTGTACAGTTTGTTGTTATCATTCATGATTATTATTATCGAAAATATCGTTTTGATTTAGTTTGTGACGATGGAATCGATAGAAATGTTTTGAATTTGTTGGAATAGTGAGAAGTGTCAATGAATATTGGTGACGTTAATAGTAATTCTAGTGAGGGTAATGATAGTAATGGTGATAAAATATTGAAGTTGGCACAAGAGGCACATGACGTGTTGATAGCGTTTATGCGATATGGCAAGATGGGTGATGGTTGCGAGAGTAGTACGACGTCGTTGGAGAGTGGGAAGGATAACTTGAGTGAGCAGAAGGTAGAGCATTGGATTGTTAATGACTCGATCATATCGATCGCCATCTATACCGAAGGAAACGGCAAAACAAAGTTTACAACTGCCACGGCATCAGGTTGGTATTCGTTTGGTCATTTTCGTTTATTTGACCAAACGAAATGAAACTAGTTGATATGGATTGATAAATTTGTGAAAATTAATGAGAAATTTTTAACTTTTCGTATTTTGTATTCAGGTTTTAAAATAATCACCATATATTTGAGATTTTTTGTTATAAATGTTTTTACTCATTGTCAGTGTTTGTAAAACTTTTGGTGGGTAGTGAATTTGTAAATGGAATTTCAGAAAGTGATCCGAGTGTTTTGAAGACTAGTACAAACACTCAAAACAGCAATGATTATATAACGGACGTTAGACGAAGGCATCAGTCTGCAGTGCATAGGCCTGAAAGGTATTATAAATTGAATTCAACCAGTTGGATTGATATATTCATTTTGAGTTAGTTTTGTCATTTGTATGAGATTTACGAACTTCAATTCAATTGAATTGTCATCCATTTCAGTGCAAAACTATACAATTGCTAAAATTACAATTCAAATTTCGAGTGTGCATAGGATAACATAGAATAGAATTATAAATGTATAAACATGTACGCATTTTGAAAATGAGTCAAAAGTAATGAGAAGTTTCATTCAGGTGTTGTAAACTCACTGCGCATCCACAAGTCATAGCATCTGAAGACATATTCTCATTCTTTTTGATTTATAATCTGAAATATGTAACGCCGTACCCGTATCAAACGTAATGGTGAATAAAATGATTTTCAAAAGGATTTAAAAGAATGTGAAATTTTGAGGATGAAGCAAATACCGCCTCGTCCAGCCGCGTTAGATGATTCGTATGCGATTAGCAAATCGTCGCCTCGTACCCAGTCGGCAGCCACTGTGACGTGGACACAGATTGTGGTTCGACACGTGTTCGGAAAGCAGTCGTGGTTGATGCGTTCGTTGAGTAGTATTCCCGAGGATTTCGATGCCGGTTTCTTGATTCAGTCATTTGTTTTGTTCATAATTTTTTGATGTTTTTGGTTTAATGGGTTGGATACAGTGAATTGTAAAAGGACATTCAACCATATGCCCATTTGATGAGGAATTGGTTTCGTTTTGGATAATAAATTTGTTTTAGCATTGTCATTTTGTTGATACAACCAGCCCTCTTAGTTCTATTGACGAGTAGATTGGAATCAATAGGCAGCTAACTTTTCTAAAAACTCGTGTACTCGTAGATCTTTCTTGAGTGGGGTGTTTATCGGTTTTGTGATTCATTCGTGTTAATCGTTCATTTTATCGAAGAAGTTGTGAATTTTAGTGCCATGTTCGAATTTGGCAGACGGAGGATCGCTGGTTTTGCATCTTTGTGCCGATCAACGGGCAATTAAAGTGGCAACCAATGATAAAAATAAAATGTGAGTTGAGTTGAAACTGTGGTAGTTTAGATTGAATGTGTAGAATTTCATGATTTATGTACTTGTAACAGTCAGTGGTATGTGATGATATATTTTTTAAGTTGTCGCACGTTCCGTAATCTCGACCGAATCTCAGCGTTGGAAATGCACACGGTTGGAGTGGTTTATGTGGGGTATGGACAAACGAAAGAATCAGAAATTTTGGCGAATGTCTACGGATCAGAACGATACGCAAACTTTATTAGGTAATGGTCGTTC